AAGCAGCCCTGCGTGTCTCTGCTCAGGAATTGTTCTGGGGATGCCTTTGCGTTTCCCTGCCGTGCCTTCCATCACGCCTTGACCCGGGAAAACGCATCTCTCTCCGTCATGCCATACCACGTGTGAGTGCTGGGCACAAAGGGCCAGCAACTGGGGCCTTTGATACTGCTGGGGAAAAGTGGTACAGCCCTTCCCCACGCAGCATCTGTGTCATTGCAGGGCTTTTTGGAAAACAGTCCATTAAAAAACCTCTCTTTAGTGGCTGTGTCTACAATCAATACTGGTGAGAAACAGCAAGCCCTCAAACGCGTAAGAAGTGGCCCTTCTGTTCCAGTTTAGGTTCAGCAGGGACCAAAATGGTGTTGGTTGTGTAACAGGTTTCCAGCTGATAGGGTCTGCATTCCAGGTAGTGCTCAAATGCAAAGCAGGGCGGAGAAAGTAAAGGGGTGTAACTGGGTGTGAACAAGCTGCACTTGCCCCAGGCGAGGAGCTGAGTCTGGATGGTTCCTTCAGAAATGAAGGCAGGCAAGGAAGTCACATGATAGAAACCTTTTTCGTACAATTTCCCATACAGAAATCTAACAAGTTAATGAAAGAGGGTGCAGAATCAGGCCTGTGCGTGTCCTGCTAGTTTTCTGTGTTGGGGGAAATGAATATCTCTCCAATTAATTTTCCAAAAAAGTTACGAAACATAGATGAAATAAAAATCAGTAGGATAGTCAGCATTAACTATGTCATACGTTTTTAATTTCTGCTGTTTCATTCCAGTGGATTATACCTTTTAGTCTGGAAAGCTGCAGAGACAGATGCTTAGCTTGGCCAGGTGTGCCTCCCAGAAGCCCCCCTTAGTGTTTGTGTTGCTGGGGCCAGTGTGCCCCCCCGCCGAGCCGGGTCCCCCAGTAGCGGAGGCTTTGCTTTAAACTGTATCCAGAATGGTGCAGGGAGGGGTCTCTTCCAGGAGGGGTTTAGCACAGTCTTTCAAAGAATGGCCCAGGTTTTATTTTAGTTCAGGAAAAGAGAAAGGGTTAGTTCTATTTTTAACACAGATTTCCTTTGGCGGCTCCTCGCTGTCCATGCATTGGTCCTGCATGAACTGCTTCAAGAACTTTCTGCTGCTTGGCTTCCTTCTTTTAGAGAAGCTTTCTGAGGGCGTTGCAGCTGCTGCCAGGGCTGTTTTTCACCCTCCTTCCTCCCGCAAGACCATCCCGGGTTTCCCTGCAATAATCAGGCACAGGAAGATCTTGGAATGGGGTGGACCAGTGTGGCTGCAGGGCTGGCTTGGGACTTGTGAGCTTACGGAGCGGCCGGAGGGCCAGGCCGCCGCCCTCACCCTTTCTGCCTGGCTTTGTCTTGCCCCAGCTGTGCCACGGGGCAGGAACGGCAGCTGCTCAGCATGTGGCAGGAAAGGCCGGGCCTGGCGGAGGGCCAAGAAGGAGTTGGTGGCTTCTGAAAGGGTGCCTCGCGCTGCCTGTGGCTACCTGGGGGAGAAGCCACAGCGGGGTGGGGGGGCTGAAGGGTTCAGGGGCACCTTTCTTCTTGTGCGCCAGAAACCCTTTGCAGATCCAGCTCAAGGCACCCGGGGAAGATTCCCTCGCGGCCCTGATCTCCCCGCCCCGGCTCCAAAGGCGCACAGTGGAAGCCTTTCCCAAAACCAGCCGCTCGGCCTTTCCTGCTGCTGGACAGGTCTGCAGATGTTGTCTGGCTGCGATAGCTGAGCCTGAGGATGCGGCTCCCCCCACGGGGCCTTTGCACGGGTCCCTGCGTTGCTGTTGTGTGCCCGCGCAGTCCCGGCCATCAGCTCCCTTATAAACTTGTGTGCCAGACTGGGGGCTAAACGTGAAAAGGAGCGAGTGGAAGGGATAAATCCTCTCTTGTGAGGCCTCCCCAAAAGCGCATTCCTTTGAACTGGAGACCTGAACCCTTTTCTTCTCTGGCTGCCTGCGCACCGAGGAGCCCTCCTTTTGCTGCTCTTCGCGGACTGCTTCGATTCATTAATAGGGTCTGCTGGGGGAGCTTGTCGGATGTCCGAGCCGGTGCTGTCAGTTAGCTTTCTGAACGAGTAAGAGAAACTCTCGGGGTGAACCTAGAACTTTGCTGATAAAACCTTTGTTTCTTAGAATCCCAAAGGCTTTTCCAGCCCTTGATGGTTTCCCTGCCCTTTGTGAAGGCACAGTGGTTGGTTTGTTGCTGCCGCTGGTGGTGGGGACAGTTTTCTTTGCCTTCGGGGAAAAGAGACGCTGCCCTTTGAAGCCCGGGCAGCTGTGGAGAACCGTGAAGAGTCCGTCCCACTGAGAAGCAAGCCCTTTCTGAGTAGGATTGTTCTCAGACCGCTTGCATGACTGGCGGGTGGGTTTTGTTCAGAGGGAAGGCCATGTGCCCCCTCCCCGGCGGGCACCAGGGCGATGACCCTGCTTTCTGGCTGGGTTTCAGGCCATGCAGAAGGCTCTGGACTTGCCCAGGAGTTTCGACTTGGTGGCTGGTCCACCACTCTTGCTCAGGGCTGGAACCCCCCTGGAAGCCATTCCAGGTCTTTGCTTGCCTACTTCTGGGGAAGCCCCCCCCCCGTTCCTTGGGGGGGTCTCCCTCTGGGTCCCGCTTGGGGCAGCGGCAAAGGACAGCCACTGCAGAGGTGCGTGAGTCTCGGTGCGTGCAGGGTCAGCCGCTGGCCAGAGAAGGCGGGGTGGGCTGCTCGGATCGCCCTCGGCCGGCCTCCCTCCATTCCCTGGGGCAGAGGCTGGTCCGTGGCAGCAGCCCCATCGGATCCTCCTGCAGAGGGGTCTCCACGTTTTGCGAAAAGGAAGGCTGTGAGACAGACAAGCAACATTTGTACTGTGCTGGGCGTGTGGAGGATACGGTTAAGGCCCAGGCAGCCCTGCATTCCGCTTTCTTGGAATCCTAGAGCTGGGAGACGCTGGAGGAGCTTTTTAGAGGTGCCCCGAATGTGATGAAACCGCTCCCCCCTCCCCGGCTGGCCTCTTTCTGCAGGCCTTTCATTGAATGCTCCTTTCTCTTACTGCCATTCATGTCAGAAAATAGTTTTATTTTTTCAGGTCCTGATGGTTAAGTTGAATTTTTTATTGTTTTTACTGTTTGGCTGCAGCTTTGGGGGACTCGGGTATTATAAAAACGGCATATAAACTGAAATATTAGCCTGGTCAGAGAGGACACATGAAGGCTGGCACCCACAGCAAGGGTGAGAGGGCAGGTTTGTGTGCGCATGAGAAACTCCTTGGCGTATCCGCAGAATGGGAGTGACCCCCCCCCGCCCAAAGCTGCCTTGCATTGCCAGTGGGCGATGGGGGTGCACCTGGACACGTCGGAGGCTGCCCAGAAGGCTCTCCCTGGGGCCCTGCGCCCCTTGCATGGGCCGGGAGTGGTTTCTGCGCTGCTGCGGACAGCTTGCTCTTCTAGACCCACGGCGGGCAGGGGCCTGGAAGACAGATCTGGGGGATGAGGCGGAGCCTAGCGATTGCTCCCCCATCGCTTGTGGGATGTTCCTGCGCCCACCTCCCTTCCTCTGCTCCTCCTCCTCCCCCCCGCTTTGTTGGGGTACTCTGGGTCGGTGTCCCAGGAAGCCCTCATCTGGGAGTGCTTGCGGAAGAGGGCGCAGGAGGCTGCCCCGGTGCCTGCCCTCCTGCAGCCAGGAGCCTGCCAAGGCGGCTCGCACGGTGCAGGGCCCGGCCGAGCCCCGACCGGCTGATCCCTCCTGGGAGGAGCGGCGCCCCTCCTCGCCTTCCCCCGGGCTGCGAGGCAGCAGCGCTCCTCTGCACAGCTCCCCTTCGGCTGGTGCCCGCGCCTCTGCCTCCCCAGTGGGCTCCGGCCAAGACCAGCCGGGGCGCGAGCGGGGGCCGTGGGCCGGGTGCAGCCCCTCTGTGACCCGGGGCAGCCAGTCCCAGGCGCAGCAGCTGCGGCCTCCTCGGCGCACGGGGCGGTCTGTGCCCCACGAGCCCTTGCTGGCTCCTCTGCTGAAGCTGCTCCAAAAGCGGCCGGTTTCTGATGAGGCCGATGTCGCTTCCACATCCTTGACAGAAGCGAGGGATGAATAAGAGACGAGAATGTTGAAGGGAAGCGCATGGGCCCCCGCAGCCCAGCGGTGCGTCGGTCGCGCCTTGCATCTCCCCACAGAGGCGGCCGGCCCTTGCTTTCCAGAGCGTAGGCCACAGTTATGCGTAAGAAACTGGACCGTTTCACTTTAAAAAGCTGCAGGCCAGCACTTGGTGGAAGGGGTCACGCTGGGGTTTGGCTTCCATCCTTCCTGGAACATCCTCTGCTCCTGAGCATTTCAGTAGCACCAAGGATGCCCTGGTCGTTACTGTAGCGCATATTATCGATAACAATAATGGTGTCATTGTTGTAAAGTGAGACTGTATAAGGAAAGAAATGTATTGTAAACATGCGGTTTGGGAAGAGCAAGAAACCTGCCCGGAATGCCCGCCCTGCCTGGACCCCACATTTGGTGCTGCCTGTTCACAGCCTCGTCTTCCATTCATCCCCGGGGGACAAGCCTGAGCGGAAAGTGCCCAAGCCCCTTGCGTCTCCCCCCCCCCCCCCCCCCGGTCGGCCTCTGGGGCACGTGCATCAGATTTTCCAGAGTGGAGTTACACAGACAGGAAGAACAAAAAGGACAGAGCTGTGGAAGAGAAAAGCACGGAGAATGTCCCTTTAAGGCCGATACGTGGGATGTGGGGAGAATGCGAGGGAAGCGAGGGGGAGGGAAGCGAGGGCCCCCTAAGCTGCTTTGGATAACCCTCGCAAGATCCAGATTAGGGCTGCAGGCAGCGGGGCTTTGGTGGCCCAGCTGAGACGCTGGCCATCTGCGAGTGACGGGGCGGTGGCTAAGCGCCCCTAGAGCCGCAGCGCCTTCCAGGGGGTGGCTTGACGGCCGTGCGCGCCTAAGCGTGTGCCACGCACATCGCTGCTTCTGAGAGGCGCGTTGCCTCGGCTGTGTTTGCTCAGAGGGACCAAGGTGGAACTGACATGCCCCCCCTCTCTCCCCACAGACCCGTTTGGAGTGCAGCTTGGTTGATGGACCCAGAACAGGCCAGATGGAAGACGGGCCATTTCACCATGCGGAAGAAAGACGGCTGAGCGAGGGGCACGTGCCCGGCCTGGCCAATGGGGAAGGGGGGCGTCCTGCCGGCGGGGGCACCGCGCTGATGGAGGCCAGCCCGTGGCTCGGCGGCCCCTGCGCCGAGCAAAAGGCCGGCTGGGAGCGTGTGCCGGCCGCCCCCGGCCACGGGGCCCCTTCCAGCAACGCTGACCTGGAGGACGCACAGAACTTGGTGGCCTTCTCGGCAGCCGCGGAGGCTGCCGTGTCTTCCCAGGGGACGGTGCCCCCGGTGCCCCCCTCCCTGCTGGGCACGCAGCTGTACGAGCGCTTCAACGCCGAGATGGCACGCGGCAGCCCGGGCGAGGACCTGCCCGCCCCCCCGTCCTCCGAGGAGCTGAGTGCGCTGCGGGCGGCCCTGGCCCTGGCCAAGCACGGCGTGAAGCCGCCCAACTGCAACTGCGACGGCCCCGAGTGCCCGGACTACCTGGAGTGGCTGGAGAAGAAGATCAGGTCGGCCAGTGCGGGCGGCCCGGGCGGCGCCCCCCAGCCGCCCCGCCAGGCTCCCCGACCCTCTCCCGACAATGGTGCTACCCCCCTGCGGGCGCCTGCAGGGGACGAGAGGCGACCCCCCTGCCCCCTGGAGGCGCTGCCCCTCTCCCAGAGCGCGCTGAGCATCGCGAAGGAGAAGAACATCAGCCTGCAGACGGCCATCGCCATCGAGGCCCTCACACAGCTCTCGTCGGTGCTTCCAGAGCCGGCCCCGGAGGCTCCCCCCACCCCCCAGAGTCCCCCACATGCTGCCGCATTTGCCTCCAAGGAGCTGCCGGGCCGGTCCCCCCCATTCCTCCCACACCCCCCGGGGGCAGTGCTCACCATGCCCAGCCCAGAGCTGTACCAGAGCCCAGCCTCGAAGCTGCGTGTCTCCCCCGTGCCCCCGTCCCCATCCCCCTGGCCGCAGGGGGCCAAGCTTCCGCAGGAGAGGACCCCCCCTTGCCTCGCCCACAGTAATGGCCACCCGGAGCCTCCAGACCTGTTCCCCAATGCCGTGCCCTCCCCGCAAAAGGCCAGCTTCCGTGAGCAGTGGGGAGAGGAAGGCAAACCGAGGAGCAGCCTGTGGGGGCTGCACGCCGGGAGCCCCCCACCCACCGTGGCCGGAGACCCCATGGCTGAGCTGGAGCAACTGCTGGGCATCCCATCCGTCTTCAAGCGGCCAGGGGCAACGCCGGGCAAGGGCCGGGCTGCCAAGCCAAAGCTGGAGCAGCCCACCCCGAGAGATGGGGGCGTGGCAGCCCCCCCCCAGCCCGCAGCTCTCCCGGCTCCTGCAGGAGCCGAGCTTCCACCGGAAGACGCAGCAGGCCCTGCAGCAGCACCTGCACCACAAGCGCAGCCTCTTCCCGGACCACAGCGTGCCTCGGGGGGGCCCCCAGGAGCCGCCGCCACCTGCCTGGTGGGCTCCCGCCCCCCCGCCCCCCAGAGTGCCCGAACGGCCCGCCAAAGAGCGGAAGAGGCGGCTGCAGCCCGACAGAGCCGGCCCGGCCAAGCCGCTGCGCAAGCCAGTGCAGATCAAGCGGGCGAAGCAGAAGGACTCGCAGCCCCTCTTCCCGCCCGCGCGGCAGATCATCCTGGAAGGGCTCCGCGTGGCCACCCCCCTCGAGCGCCCCGGCAGGGATGCCTGCCCCGAGCAGCTCCTCTCGAGCGCCCCCCCGGCCGTGGCGGTGGCCAGCCCCGCGGAGCAGTCCCCACTGCAGCAGCTACTTGAACACAGAGTCCTGCCTCCCAGCACTCAGGAAATGCGCCCCCCCAGCCCAGGGGAGGGCCACTGCCCGGAGAACCCCGCCGGCCCCCCGGCCCCCCTCAGCAGCCCCGTGCCCGGCTCCGCCCCGCGCTCGGCCGCCATCCCGTGCAGCAGCGGGCCCGAGGATGCGGCAGACCACCCCCTCTTCGCCCACAACCGCGTCACGGTGGACGACAAGCTGGAGGAGCTGATCAAGCAGTTCGAAGCGGAGTTTGGGGAGAACTTCAGCTTCCAGGGCCCCGACCTCCCGGGTCCGCTGCCCCTGCCAGACGGGCCCCCGCCTGCCCCGCTGCCCTCCCCCCCGCCGCAGCCCCTGCCTTCTCTGAGCCAGCCTCCCCCGTCTCCAGGCAGCTTGGACGCGGCTCTCCGGCCGCCGGCAAGCAAGGATTGCACATGGCCTCCCGCAGGCCCCCCCGATGCGGGTTTCCAGGTGGGGGCCGGGCAGCCTTCCGACAACCCCTTTGCGGCTCGGTCCCCAAAACAGATAAAAATCGAATCCTCTGGTGCTATTACCGTGGTGTCCACCACGTGCTTTTACTCGGATGAAAACCAAAACACAGACCCTGCTTCCGTGGAAGGGACCCCCACCAAGGACCAGGGGCCGCTCATGCCTACTCTCAGTGGATTTTTGGAATCGCCCTTGAAGTATCTGGACACCCCAACCAAAAGTTTACTGGACACGCCTGCCAAACGGGCCCAGGCAGAGTTCCCGACGTGCGACTGTGTGGGTGAGTCATCGGCCCTGCTCTGCTCTTGCGCAAGGGCAACGGGAGGGTGTCGGAAGGGGCGCTGGCGGAGTGGCGTGTGGCGGGGCCGTAGCGCACGTGCGCGTGTGTGCAGAGCACTGTGCCTTTCTGGGGTACGCGGGGGCGCATCTGCCGCTCTTGCTGCACCCCCCCCCCCCCGTGTTCGCTCACAGGAGATCAGCAGCGCCTCTTCGGGAGGGGAAGCGGCCCCCTGCGTTTCCTGTGCCGAGTCCCTTTAGTGTCCGCACAGCTCATGAGAAAACAGGAGCAGCCTCGTGCTGGAGGGCCCCGTTTCCAAGAGCCGCTGAGCGGACAGGCGAGGCCCAAAGGCTGCGGCACCCCCTCTTGTGTCCACACCCAGCAAGCAGTCCTCGGGGGGGGGGGGCTCCTTCCGCTGAACGCAGAGACCCCGTTTAGCTGGGCCGACCACCAGCCAGCAGGAGATGCTTCTTCCACCAGCAGATCCAGGCCTTTTCGAACGCCGTTTCAGCCCCTGCGGCCTTTTGCAGCAGGAGTTCGCTGCGCCATTCAAACGTTGAGCGAAGAGCAGCTTCTCTTGCTTCCTCTCCACAAGCTGCCCCTTTCCCTGCCTGGCCTCAGTGCGGTGGGACACACGCCCCGGCTTGGAGGACATTGTGGCGTTCTGGCCGAGCACGTGGTGTGTGGCGGGTGGGCAGCTGGAGGGATGGTTGGTCGGACAGTTCCGTTGAGAGCTCACTGCAAAGCCAGTTTGCCCACTCCTCTCCTCCCGCTCTTCTCTCCATGGCAGCCCTGTGAGGTGGGCTTGGCTGCAAGTTGGACTGGTGCAAAGATACCCGTGGGCTCTGTGGCCCAGCAGGAACCGGAACCAGGTCCCAGCCCCTCCCTGAGCACTGGTGGGAGTGATGAGAGCCCACCTCTTGCATGGGGGAAGTGGGCCATGCAGCTGCAGCTGCGGGCGGGGGCAGGTTTGGCTGAGTGCAGCCCGGCACCTGAGACGCGTCCCTCCTCGGCGAAGGAGCCTGCTGGGGAGGAGGAGCTCCAGAAGCCTCTCCGGCCTTCTTGGAGCTTTGCTCCTGGGTGTGCGCCCGCTTGGACTGCGGTCCTTGTGCCCGGACGGCTGGGCCTGCCAGTTGCTGGAACTGGAGCCCAGTCCGTCGTGCGTGGCAGGCCCTCCTTTGCTGGCTGTCCGGGGACAAAGGACAGGCTTCCACATCCATACAGTAGGCCTGGTGTTGTGTGTGTGTGGGGGGGCGGGGGGGTCACTGCAGTCTGCCCTGAGAAGAGCCCGCTGGGCAGGATGCCTCAGAGTGCCCGGCTCCAGCCCCAGACAGTGTGCCGTGCCTCGCCAGCTGTGAAGAGTGTCCCGGTGCTCTTCCGCGGCACAACAGAGAGGCAGAGAGAGGCCCTGCCTTCAGGCGGGGCTGGTGAGCAGGGGAAGCACGTGCCTGTGCTCGTCTTCAGGCCCCCAAAACTTGTGCCGTCAGGCGCTCCAGTGTAGTCAGATGGGCTCCGCGTCCATCGATCTTCTCTGGGCAGCTGCGGTCCAGCCGAGATTTTGGTTTCTCCTTTTCTTGGCACTGTGCCACAAAGATGTGCCCAGAATGAAAATTGGGGCTGGTGAGAAGGAAACTGGGGGGAAGCACAAGCAGAATCCCACCTGTCCAGGCAGAAAATCCTCCCGAGTCCTGAGTGCCAGCCATTCCTGCTTTTCGGGACGCCGCGCCCCCCGTGCCAAAACTTGTGGCCACAGCTTGTGGGACGCAGCAAGGGGCCGCGTCCTCTGGTTTCTCTGCAGTTGCTGCTGCAGCAGCCGCCACAGGTGTGGGGGCCGTTGACCAGCTGGGTGGTCACCGTTGCAGCTGGAGCGGTTGCAGCGAACCTCTGAGTCCTGTGCTGGCAGATTTGGAAAGTGGCCAGAGCCCTGACTGGTCCCTGACCCTCAGCTCCACTTTCTTTGCCTTATTTTCGCTGTTTTGTCCAAGTGCCCGCAAACCTTGGCTAAGGCTGGGCTGTGGACCAGGTGGCAAACTCTTGCCGGTGTCATGAGGTCAGAAGCAAAGGTGTTCCCAGCCAGGTTTGTGGCAGGCCAGGCAGGCAGGGAGGGAGCTCCTAGCGCCGTGAGAGAGGCAGGTCAGGTCGGCCCCAGCGGATAGCAGCTGCCTCTCAGGCGCTCGGCTTGCAGAGTGCTTGTGGAGGGCCCCTCAGAAGGGCTTGGCCTGGCAAACAAAGCCTCCCCTGCACTGCTGGGCCGGAATCCTAAGCGAAAGCTTCGGCCACGGTTGTCTGCCCCGGAAGGCCGGGGAGCAGTCCCACTGCGACCCAGAGGGCGTTCAGGGGCCTGGAGTCAGTGTCTGGAGGAGCATGACTCACGGGACATGGGCAGTCCACGGTCTGGTGCTCTTGCTGAGCAGCTCTCCGTCACGCTGCACAGAACGATTGTCTTGGGTTGCTGCTGTACGGAACTTTTCCCGCGCTGAATCTGCAAGCAGGAATCAAGTGACCTGCTTGCAAGCTCATCCTGGAATATATATTAGGGAAACCCAAAGTAAGGGTTCCATTTTGGGGGGCTGCTGCCAAAGCCGCTTCTGCGATTGCCGGGCAGCTGGAAGAACAAGTGGTGAAAGGTATGACAGGTAAAAGCACCCGCCTTCTGCCGCCCTCGGCCAGCAGGAACCGAATTGCTGCTCCTGCAAGGGTGGTCCAGAAGCCGGTCCGGAGTGCAGCGGCTTGCAGCGTGTCGCATCCGGAGAGGGAGGCGTGGTGCAGGCCGCTCACTTGTGGTGGGCATGGCTGGCCGTGCGCTCTCAGGCGCCTGCCCCGCGCCGGCTGCAGACGGGGGCGTTTCTAGGTCAGCCTCTGCCCAGACTGGCCGCCTGGCCATGCTGGCAGCTCCGCGGGCACTGCTGGCAGCTCCGCGTGGACCTGGTGCCCGTGGAGGGGCTTCACTGTGCCAGCGCCTCTCCGTGGAATTCCCGGCAGCTGGCCACACGGCTTTGGTTTTGGCACCAGTAAGGCATTTCTAGTTAAAGCTGTTTTTCCTGAAGGCCCAGTTGCAGATTTGTTGGGATAGCTTGGTTTTAAATATTGCGCTGCTTTTGCTTGTTGACTGTTCTCCCTTGACCAGTGTAAAAGTGTTTTGATACAGAGCAGTTTATACATTTTGTAAATAAAGAGGTACCTGGGCCTTCTCTCCTTCAATAGTCCCGGGAACGGAGCCCAGTGGTTTCCCCGAGGTGCTGCTTGCGGGATTCCAGCCCAGGGTGCTTTGCCGTGCAACTCAAAGCACTTTGCTAGAATTGGGCACCCGCGTGTGTGGAAGCGGTGGGCTGCCGCCGGTGGGGAAGCATGAGAGCCCGTGTGGCGGAGGGCGAAGGGCGCGGCTCAGGTTCTGCTCCCCATTCGGCCATGGGGCCAACAGGGGTGCTTTGGGCCAGTCGCAGCCTTCCTCACAGGGTTGTTGTGAGGAGAAGGCTGAGAGCAGGAGGGGGAAGGGAATGCTGTGAGCTGCTTTGAGTTCATCATAAGAGAAAAGGTGGGATATGTCCCACCTATCCCAAATACACACTGCTGCCGTTCCGGGGTGCGTGCGTGTGGGTCTGAGGTGCCTCCTGTCCCCTTTGCAGGGCTCCATCGCAGGGCTCCCTTTCCCAAGTGCGCACAAAACTGAGCGCTTGTTTCATTCATCGGTCCGAGTCCTTTCTTTACTGCCCCAGTCCAAAGTTACACTGCTGGCTGCTCACCAGCGTAAAGCACGTGTGCCCGTGCCAAGCGATCCAAACGTTCGCTTTAAACAGTGCAACTAATAGGCACGCGCCTCATCAGCAGCCCGCTTCCAGGTTCTGCTAGGATGGGATATGGGAAGCGGGGGGGAGCCTGGCGGGGGGCGCATGGATGCCAGTTAGTTGGCCGGAAAGGGGGCTGCGGCCCCGAGCGAGGGCAGGGATGTGTGTGGGGTGATAACACGCCATCGCCCGGAGATCTGGCAGCAGAGGCAGGAAGTGGCCTGTTGCTGCAGCCACCCTCTCTCGTGACCGAGCAAAGCCTTCCTGTTTTTTTCAACCTTTATTGTTCAGGCTTCTTTTTTAAGCCCTGGAGCTTCTTTTAGGTGCTGCTTTCTTCGTTGATAAAAAGGCTGAGCAATGTGTGGATTTGCAGAACGGTCTTGGCGTTGTCGGCACAGCCGTTGGGTGGTAGAGAAAAGCCACGCAGGAGGAGTAGCACGAGAGCAGGGCCCCCTTCTGGGAGGGCGCACCTCCAGCGACACCCCATCAACTGGCCCTACATTTCTAGCCTTGGTCTCTTCCAGGAGACCTCCCGGCAGTCACGCACCCCGCCCCCCCCCGCCCATTGCAGCTTCTGCCTTCGCAGCCCGCTCGCTTCCGCCCTCTCTAGTCCTCCCCGGATTTAAGCCCATGTCCCCTTGGCAAAATGATAAGCACGGGCAGCCCCATTTTGGCGTCTCCAACAGGCTGTGCAGGCCTCCAGGCGCCCGCATCCCGTGCCGCCAGCGTCGCTGCAGATCCTGGTTCCCATCCGCCCCTGCAGAGACGCGCTTCTTCTGCCTGATTCGCTAGCAAGCAGCCCTGGCGGGCACTGGTACTCCTGAAGTCTCCTCGGGGATGGCGAGGGGCTTGCTGCAGCAGGTGTGCGGCGGTGTCGGAACAAGCAAGCGCCCCGCTCGGGCGTCGCACAGTCCCCATGTCGCCCTGCCAGGTCTGCTGGAGGACTTTCCCACGCATCTGGCGCCGACATGTGGTGAAATGGCCCCTCCCTGGGATCCAGCTCTTGAGCGGTGGAGCTTGATCTCCTCCTCCCTGTTCTCTCCCAGGCAATTTCCTTAGGGCGCAACCTTGGAGAGCAGTGTCTCTGATTTTGTAGCCCGAACCTTTGTGACTTCAAATTATGAATGTAGCCTGGGGAGGCTTGTCCACTTTGGAGGGGCTCTTTTCCAGTTGGGACCAATCTCCCCAGTCTTTCTGGATCTGCCCAATGCAGCACCAGCCATGGCGGTTCAGGATGTGCTCGTTTGGTGCTTAGGTACTCTGCAAGTGAAAGCCGCAGTCTGCTTGGGGTGAACCGGCTCGCAGGCACCCGATGGCCTCTTACCAGCACCGAGTAACCTCATCTTTCACGTGAGCGGGGGCGGTCACCGACACGGAACATAGAAACATAGAAACAGAGCAAGTCAGAAGGGGCCTCCCGGGCCATCTAGTCTGACCTCCGGCACCAGCCGGCTCCGCTCACGGCATGCCCACCATGTGGACATCCAGCCGCCATCATCTTTTCCACCACAGGCCATAATGTGGGAATAGGCAGGCAGGCTATTGATTGATTTATTAAAAGCTTTTGTAGGCTGGCCACTACATGCGTCACAGGACGGCTCACAAGAAAAGAAAGAAAAAGAAAGACCCCCCCCCAAATATAAAACACAACAAGGCACTACATCCAACCTCAATAATAAAACCCAGAATAAAACCAATTAAACATTAAAAGGACGGGAAAATAAAAAGGGTTTCGCCTGGCGCTGAAAGGAATATAATTTCGGCACCAGGCGAACCCCTCTGGGGAGCGTGTCCCACAGTCGGGGCGCCACCGCAGAGCAGGCCCTCCTCCGAGCAGCCACCCTCCCGATCTCCGTCAGGGAGGGCTCCCGAAGAGGGACCTGCGCCTCAGAGCTCAAGGGGCAGAAGGGCACCTAGGGGAGGAGGCGCTCCTTCGGGTGTCCCGGACCCAAGCCGTTGAGGGCTTCATGGGTCACCACCAGCACCGTAAATTGGGCCCGACTCCAAGTGGCGGCCAGTGCAAACGGTAGAGGGCCGGCGCCATGCTAGCCGCTTTGTGCACTCGTGCGCTGGTGTGCTCAGGCATAAGAGCTCTGTGGCCCTGGGGCGCGTCCTATGTCAGGATCCGTGGCTCCGTCAGTGGCCACCGATACCGAGTTGCGGCCATCTGGCCGATAGCCGGCGTAGATGCCCCGCGCTCACCCTGGCCCTGGCCAGGATTCAAACGTGCTTTGAAGGTCTCGTTAACGCCTTTGTCATTTAAATAACCTGGCATCTGAGTGGAGCGCTCGCTCGGCCAGAGGAAATGCTCAGTGGCTCTGAAGAAAGGACCAGCTGCACTTCCACTCAGACAGAGAAACCAAAAGAGCAAATAGCATTAGCAGCAGCTTGAGAAGAGAAAGAGGCCAGTGGTAACGGGGGCTGGAGAGGCCGGTTGCCTTTATGTTCCCAGTGTAAATCTGGGGGGAGCAGGGGCACCCAGGCTGCACCCTTCAAGGCTCCTCCCGGGCACGGCGTCTTCCCGGGACCCTGGGGGGCACTGGCCGAAGAGTGCGCTGCAGTGGCTGTGCGTCCCCCAGGCCCTCCGGCATCCTCCCCTGCCCGTTCTGCTGCTCGCAAAGCAGCTGGTGGTGGGCCCAGAGAAGAGCCCGGGCGGCTTGGCCGGCGTTCGGAGTGGCGGAGGCGGTGGGGGAGTGACGGCACGCTCTGCTTTTCCAACAGAACAAATAGTGGAGAAAGACGAGGGGCCCTACTACACCCACCTGGGTTCGGGCCCCACCGTGGCGTCCATCAGGAGGCTCATGGAGGAGCGGTAAGTGGCCGGCCGCGGGCAGTTTCGGAGCGGGGAGGCAGAACTCCGGCAGCACCGCACCCGCCAGGGAAGGCCTTCTCGGGTGGGAGCTTTCCGGAGTCTGCCGATGTCCCGTTCCGGTCAGCGGCAGCCCCCAGTGCCCGCTCAAGGGTCTGCTCGTCCGCTCCCGCAGCAGGCCGGACGCGTCCACAGGGCCCCAAGAGCAGCTCTCCCATCGTTGGGGGTGTCCATCGCTGTCCACTGAAGCACGGGGAGTGGCGCGCTCGGCTCGCCTCGGCGCTCGGCTGCGCTTTATGGAAGGCTCCTGGGCAGAAGACTCTGCTGAAAGGGGCCTCCTGGTGCTGTGCGGGGGGTCCTGCTGCAGTCGCCCAGGCACCGGTAGGCAGGAACTCCAGCACCCCGAGCCCCACGCGAGGGAACCGGGAGGCGAGCCTCTGCCTGGCCCGCTCCGTGCTCCTCCCAGGCCGGGCGTGCTGCCGGAGGGATCGTGTCCTGCCCAGCCAGGCCCCGACTTACCGATCTGGGCATTGGGTGGGAGGCAAGGGCGATGGGAGCACGGTCCCCGCTGTGGCCCAGGGGGGCGCCCTTCTTCCTGGCTACGTCATGCATGCGGCCTGGTACCAGCCGGCCCAGCCAGACGGACTGCACCTGCCCGGGTGAATCCCTCCACCCGTCTGCCTGGATTTTGCAGAACAGCTGTAATTGTCACGGCAATCTCGGTTTCAAATAACTTGCAAATAACTGTTGTGCCTGCCTGTTGAGGTGGTTTAGAAATAACAACACACCATCTCAGGCAGAGGCATCAGTAGTAGTGGTGCTAATGGTAGTTTCCACTGGGTTTTAATAAACAAGCACATATATTTAATATTTAATAAATATTTAATAAATCTTTGCTCAAAAATCAATAGAAAGACCATGTGATCTCTGATCAGGTTATTGTCCAAGCTAATTGGGAACCCTGAGTGAAGAGAACAGAGTGGAGCAGGAGAAGAGGTGGAGGGGCCTGGAAAGGCATCTGGTGCACTCCCTTGCTCTTCCTCCACCTCTGGTCGCCCATCCAGCTGCAGGCCCGCACCTTTCCGGCTTAGCAAAGGAGACTTGGCGTGCCGGCTGTGCGCACGGCTGTGCCGCGAAGCTTGAGCAAACAGCCGGGCCGTGGGTTCTGCGCTCCCACCCTGGCTGCACAGCCCTGCTCTCAGTTCTCTTCACCGCTCTCCACCATGATGCCAGGCGGGCGAGTGGGGCTGAGGCTTGCCCCCGATCCAGAACCAGGACCCCACACGAGCCCCCATAGCGCAGGACGAGGCTGCCTAAAGCCCTCCCAGCTGTCGTCGGAAGGACTGCATCATGGGTCCTCAAACTGCGGCCCGTGGGCCAGATCCGGCCCGCCCCTGGGGTTTTGCACTCGCACGCACAGCTTACTCATGTGGAGAATGTTTTGGACTCGCTTGGCGAAAACGATCTTCGTGCAAGAGAGCGGCTGCCTCGCCCCCCCCCCCCAGCCGCGTGCGCCCCCCCACCGCCTCGGTGGCCTCCCCCACCGGCACCTTTCAACCAGCCCCCTGTTGAAAGAGTTTGAGGACCCCTGGACGGGCTGAACTGGGCCACGATTTCAACGTGGGGAGCTGGGCTGAGCCCTCCGCCCCCTCGGAGTTGGGAGACTCTGCCTGTCCCCTCACTGGATGGGGGTCTTGCTGGCCTCGGCATGCCCAGGCAATGACCAGAGCGTTCGCCGTGCTGTGGAAGTGCCCCACGGTTGGGTCGGCCCCATGCGGGAGCAGTTCTTTGGTGCTTCGGGTCTCGACGGGGCAGGAGGGGGAGCACATGCTCCGACCGACGGGGCCGGCCCTGCAGCTGGCTCACGCCCTGAGCCCCCGGAGTCGTTCCGGAGCACGGTGCCGCTGAGCCGCCTCGGCGTACGCCAAGACCAAGGGGGGTGGCACAGCGGCCCTTGCGAGGCGGGGAAGACACCAGGAGAGAGCCGCAGCCCTCAGTCGCGGAGCCCCCGAGACCCCCGCCCTCCACCCTCTCCAGCTCTAGAGAGGGAACGGTGTGCCCACTTGGTGGCTGCTCGGCCACGTCAGCCCCGCTGCGCCAGGGCGGGAGGCGGGGCCAGGAAGAGGGAGGTGGGCACGGTGAACGGAAGGGCAGCGCTTTGGACGTCGGCCCTGCCTTCCAGGAAGAGACTTTTCCCTGCAAATGCTGACCCGCCCCCTATGGCGCGCTGCCCCGGCGGCCTGGGCGCTTCCTTTGCCTGCCAACGCTGTGGCTTTTCCAACCAGGTACGGCGAGAAGGGAAAGGCCATCCGGATCGAGAAGGTGATCTACACGGGGAAGGAGGGCAAGAGCTCGCGGGGCTGTCCCATCGCCAAGTGGGTGAGTGGCCGCCCTCACGTTCAGCACTTGCCCTGCAGGCCCCCCCTGCGCAACCCTGTCTGCCGTCGCCGGGAGCTTCCTGCGGGGCAGCTTGAGGGGGTCTGGGAGGAGGTGCATGGTGGAGACCGAGGAGGGGAGGCCTGTCTGTGGCCCTCAGCTGCAAAGGCTCTGTGAAGCCTCCTTATTCAGAGGCAGTTTACCCCCCGGGGACCGTTTGCAGGGTGGTGGCACCTGCGGGAGGGGCCTGTGGGTCCCCGTGTGGCCGCTCCTGGCGGAAGCAGGATGCTGGGGGGGACTTAGAGTTGAACCTGCCCAAGCTCTGCTGGTGCCCCGAGACGGGGATGGAGAGTGGTCCTCGGGCGGAGCCGCGCTGTGCCACGCCGGCCGCAGTGTGCAGGGGCTCCCCGCGAAGCGCCCCTTGGGTACCCCCACGGCTGAGCTCCCCGAGGCGCTGGGGAGGGGCAGCTGCCTCTGCTGCCACGGGACTCACCGGCTTCCCGGCCGCCTCCAGGTGATCCGCAGGCACAGCGCGGAGGAGAAGCTCCTGTGCCTGGTGCGGCACCGCGCCGGCCACCGCTGCCAGAACGCCGTCATCGTCATCCTGATCCTGGCCTGGGAGGGCATCCCGCGCTCCCTGGGCGACAGCCTGTACCAGGAGCTCACGGACACGCTCACCAAGTTCGGGAACCCCACCACGCGGCGCTGCGGGCTGAACGACGAGTGAGTCCCCGGCCGGGCGGCCGGGTGGGCGGCCGGGGGGGCGGGGCCATCCTCCCCGGTCGCGCCCCCCGGAGCCCACCCGCGAGGCCAGCGACACTGGACCGGGCGTCTGCGCGCCCCATGCGTCCCGAGAGAGGGGCAGGGCTTGCCCCGCGTCGAGGCCCTCCGGGCATCCGGCCCCAGCTCACGTGCTGTGCCCGGGCGGGGGTGCCAGGCCAGGGGTGCCTCTGGGTCCCGCTCCCGTGACGGAAGCCCCTCGTGTCGCTTGCAGCCGGACGTGTGCCTGTCAAGGCAAGGACCCCAACACCTGCGGTGCCTCTTTCTCCTTCGGCTGCTCGTGGAGCATGTACTTCAACGGGTGCAAATACGCGCGAAGCAAAACGCCCAGGAAATTCAGGCTTCAGGGGGACAATCCCAAGGAGGTAAGCCGGAGACCCGCCCCCCCTGGGGCCACCCGCCTGGTTCCAGGGGATTTGCGGCTCTGCCATCCACCAGGTCCTCCCGATTTAAGAGGCAAAGCAGTGGCGGGGATGGTTTGGGTGAACTGGGCCCCGCCCCCCCAGGCTGGGCAGACCAGTCCAGGTGGGGAGAGAAACCAGTCCATCTAGTTAGAGAAAACGAGACAGCTAGGGGCACGCTACCTGCAGGTAAGTACCAGAGCGCCAGCGGCTTCTCCGCATTGCCAACACCTCCCAGAAATGGGAGGATGACGCTGGGCGGAGGGAGAGAGCGTTTAGCCCATCCTCTGACAGGCACAGGGGTGCAAACCGCTCCGCTGCGTTAATCCTGTGGGATCCCAGACTGCTTCTTGCAAGGAGAGCATGGCTCTGAGATGCTGGCAGACACAAATGCGGGGGGGGGGGGGGCAGCTGCTGGGTAGAAGCAACTAGCAGCCCTTGAGTTGCAGCGTGCAGTGTTGCAGCATATGCTTTCAGTCTTGGGCCCGGGAGCGCCGGATTCTGCTCCCAGCTCATGTGCAGTCGGGCCGACCCAGGGCTGCTTTGGGGAATGTCGGTTGCTGTTGCTCAGTGACTGATAGGTCCCAGCTGGGCTCTTGGGCAGCTCTCCGGTGGGAGTGGATAAAGGAAAAGCGGAAAAGGGAAGAGACCTCCGCTCTCTCTCGTTGCAGGAAGAAATTCTCAGAAGAAGCTTCCAGGACTTGGCCACGGAGGTTGGCCCGCTGTATAAGAGGCTGGCACCCCAGGCCTACCAAAATCAGGTGCCCAGCATGCCTTTCCTTTTATTTTCCTTTCCTGGATTTAGAAACATAGAAACAGTGTGAGTCAGAAGGTACCTCTGAGGCCATCTAGTCTGACCCCTGGCTCCAGCTCCGCTCATGCAATCCCCAGATTGTGGGTGTCCACGCTTTCCTTGGACACCTTCGCTGATGGGCCTCCACCACCCCCTTGGAAGCCCTGGATCGTGGCCAGATGCCCCCTTCCACCAGCAGGAACTGGAGGCCAGGAGGAGCTGGTGGCTCAGTCGCGGGGCTGCCCCTTGCGCTTTCTCTGCTGTGGCATGGGCAACACCAGACCTCCCCCGATAGCCTGGGAGGCCCATGGGGCTGGGTGGGCTCGGGCCAGGGCGCCCTGCAACGTCATTAGGCCGCCGCAGAGCAACAGGCGGACAGGCGCTCGGCCTGCCTCCAGCCCTCGGCCAGGGGCTGCTGTGCCGCCCCTTCCCCCGGGCAGCCACAGCTGCCTTTCTCCAACTTCCCCAGTGCAGGGGGCAGCAGGGAGAGCCCCCGGGGCAGCTCCCCAGCCAGCCAAAATCGCATGCACTGCTCCGAGCACAAAGTGTGCACTGCTGGACTCAAACCCCTGTGCCGAACTCCGAGGTGCCGACAGCCCTCCTGCAAAACCCCCGGATTATGCAGCGGGGGCCGTTCCGCCTGAGCCAGGCGCGCTTTCAGCCATCCTGCGCATCAGCCGGCCTCCGCCACCTGCCCCCAGCCTTGGGCCGGCAGCCCTTGGCAGCGGGGGGGGGGCGGGCATGGGCCCCTGGGGCTCATTCTGGGCCTGCCCGCAAGGAAGTGTGGCCCTGACCAGCCTCTCCTCTTCCCGACCAGGTTACCAATGAGGATATAGCAATAGACTGCCGGCTGGGACTGAAGGAGGGGCGGCCCTTCTCGGGGGTGACGGCCTGCATGGACTTCTGTGCTCACGCCCACAAGGACCAGCACAACCTGTACAACGGGTGCACCGTGGTAAGGCCGCCTTGCTCGCCCCCTCGTCCCGCACGCTGGGGGAGGCCGGGGGCCGGGCCTGGCTGCCGTTGCAGCGCCTTGGAGACCAAGCGGACCGAGGACGGGCGCGCCCAGCCCAGCCCACCTCGCCGGCTGCCTGCGATGTATTCAGGGTGCTGCAGGCGTTCGGTGAAGTGCTTGGCCTCGCAGATTCTCCCCCGTGAAGGCTTGTCCTGCAGGAAAGGCGCTCAACGCGCTACAGGGCGCTTCCTTGCGGCTTTTTTCCGCAGAGAGCGGCCCAGCGTCACTCGTGCAGGCCGTGCGCTTCTTGTCACATTTTTGCCCGCATGTCCCTCAAGGAATGCTTGTATGAGCATCTTGCTCTCTTCACCATGACCTTGTGAGGTAGGTTAGGCTGAGGGTTAGGGACTGGCCCACTGCCAAAACAATTTCTGTGCCCAGTTCTCTAATTTCATACCAGTTTGGCCCCACATTTGACCATTGATGGAACCGCGTAAACTCAAGTAAATAAAAGTTTTTGCTTCATCCTGAACGAGAGCGCTTCTGTGCCTTTGGACCGGGACGCAGGGGCATCGTACAAACCCCTTCATGCCCTGAAGGGGCCCTTTGGATCCCTGCACCCGCGTTTGCTAGAATTAGAAATAATCTGTGAAGCTGCGAGGAGGCAGCACACGGGAACCGTTGTCAAAAATCCCTGGGTGCACATGAAGCCTCTGGGCGTGTGCAGAGTCACTGCCTAGTTTCTGCCCCACGAATGCTGTGCTCACTGACTGGCACCGGTGGCTTGTTTGCCCACTTCCTTAGGTGTGCACCTTAACAAAAGAAGACAATCGGACCATCGGGAAGATCCCTGAGGACGAACAGCTGCATGTACTTCCGCTGTACAAAATGTCGCCCACGGATGAGTTTGGCAGCGAGGAGAATCAGGCTGCGAAGGTGGGCAGCGGGGCGATCCAGGTGCTCACCTCCTTCCCCAGGGAGGTGAGGAGGCTTCCCGAACCCGCAAAGTCTTGCAGGCAGAGGCAGCTGGAAGCCCGGAAGGCTGCAGCCGAGAAGAAGAAGCTGCAGAAGGAGAAGCTGCTGACGCCCGAGAAGATCAAGCAGGAAGCTCTGGAGATCCCAAGCCTTTCCTCGCAGAATGCAGGTGAGGAAATTACTTGTTTCTTTAAAGCATTTGTATGTCACCTGGTTGTGCCACAGCCCCTCATTACAGGGCTTAGAGGCTGGGGAGGGGGTGCCCCATGCCCCCGCAGGCCCACTCATGACCGCCTTTGCGGGACTCGCACGTCGCTTTACATCAAGCCCCTCAATCTAGCTCTGTTTGCCTGCGCGGGGATCCTTTCCGAGGCGGAGTTTTACAGCCTTTCGCCTCCATGCTTCGTCCCACCGTGTGCTGCCTCGGACGTCTGGCGCATTGCAGAGGGTTTGGGGTGATGCCTCATTGTTTCCCTGGGTGGCCACCTGCACGTGCTCCAGAGCAGGGGTGCTTGGAGTCCTATTGCCTGATGTATTCGGACTCATACCTGGCTGAAAAGCCCTGCTCAGGCGCACCCCGGTGGTGGTGGAAGCTTTGTGGCAGAACGTGGATCCAGGATTACGGGAAAGCCCAGAAGGCAGAAATACCTTGCCTGCCTCTTGGGAGGGGTGTGCGAGCCACAGTGGGAAGCTGCCCCCTAGAAACAGAGGCCTTTCCCACTGGCTGGGGGGAGGCACTGTCCTGGCTTGAAGGGTTGGCCCAGCCCGCCGGAGGCTGTTTCGCTAAGCCAGCGATGGCTCTTGCTCTGCCCCGCAGACCCGGCCCTGAGGAGCGGGCTCTCCCCGCAGTCCGTCAAGCCTTCCCTTCAGGTGGAGCCTCAGAGCCATTACAGTGCTTTCAAGTACAGCGGCAACGCCGTGGTGGAGAGCTACTCGGTGCTCGGCAGCTGCAGGCCCTCCGACCCGTACAGCATGAGCAGCGTTTACTCGTGCCACTCCTACTATGCACAGCCTAATCTGCCTTCCGTGAACGGGTTGCATTCCAAGTTCTCTCTTCCATCCTTCGGGTATTACGGATTTTCCAGCAATCACGTGTTCCATTCCCAGTTCCTGAATTACGGCGATGCCGGGGGCACGCCCTGGAGCAGTGGCAGCTACGAGCGGAAGCCCGGCGTGCAAGCCTTGCCGGGCAGCCTGAGCCATGCCTACGGTGGCGCGGAATGTGCGGAGGCTGCGGCGCCCGCCGTGCGGATCAAGAACCACCACGGGCGCACCTACGAGCGGGGCAGCAGGCACGCAGGGAAGCCCCTGGCCGCGCCGCAGCGGTGCAGCTCCGTCCCGGCAGAAGCCCTGTCCTTTCCGCAGAGTGCCGGCTGTTTCAGCAGCAAGCCAATTAAACAAGAACCAGTGGACGTGGTGCCCCACGGGCGGCCTGCTCCCGGGGTGGCCCCTGTCAGTGGCCAAGCGCCGCGTCTGAACTCGGCCGACTTCTCCAGGCCGGCTGAGAACGGAGGTCCGGAGCAGCGGTGGAGTCCCCACAAGGCCCACCGGAACGAGTCCCCTGCAGACAGGACTAGCGGTGCTGAGAGTCCCTGGAACGTCTTCGCGCCCAGCGAAAACGGCAGTGTGCTCGGCGCCAGTGCCCAGAAGAGGCCCGGCCTCTTTGACTGCCGCTCCAGTGCATCCAGGTTGCCCCAGTCCCACCTGCTGGAGAAGCAGTGGGAGCTCTTTCCTGGCGAGGGGCAGCCCCTGCCGCCAGGCCTCGACCTGCTGGGGAAGCCATGGCCAGCCCCGTGCAAAGTCAGCAAGAGCTCTCCGGCCTTCCCGGCCAGCGCAGGCCTTCCCGAGAATCCCTGGGGCTTCGGGCAGCTGAACCTCCCTTCCCTCAAGGAAAGCCCCAGGCTTCAGGATGAGCTCTGGGGCTCTGTGAAAGTGGACGAGAGGAGAACTCCGACGCCGGGCACCGGGCTGCACAGCCGGCCCTGGACCTCCTTTGGCTCCCTGGCCACGGTGGCCTCGGACGCCTGCGCGGAGAAGCCGTTTGCCTCGCTGAAGGAGGAGCGTGGGGCCGTGCCCACGGGCGCCGGCCTCCACGAGCGGTCGTGGGACAGCTTCAGCCTGGACGACGGCATGGAAGACAAGAGCGTCAAGGGGGAGGGGGAGGGGGAGGAGGAGGAGGAGGAGGAGGTGTGGTCCGACAGCGAGCACAACTTCCTGGACGAGAACATCGGCGGGGTGGCGGTGGCCCCAGCGCACGGCTCCATCCTCATCGAGTGCGCGAGGCGTGAGCTGCATGCCACCACCCCGCTGAAGAAGCCCAACCGGTGCCACCCCACCCGCATCTCGCTCGTCTTCTACCAGCATAAGAACCTGAACCAGCCCAACCACGGGCTCGCCCTCTGGGAAGCCAAGATGAAGCAGCTGGCAGAGAGGGCCCGGGCGCGGCAGGAGGAGGCCGCCCGGCTGGGCCTCCGGGAGGACATCAAGCCCTTCGGCAAGAAGCGGAAGTGGGGGGCCGGCTCGGCCACCGAGCCCCAGCACCAGGAGAAGAAGGACTCGGTCCCGACGCGGCAGGCCCTGGCCATCCCGACCAACTCGGCGATCACTGTGTCCTCCTATGCCTACACCAAGGTGACCGGGCCATACAGCCGCTGGATATGAGAGGACCGGGGCTCACCGTGGGCAGCTTACCTCAGAGTCCACAGCGCTGGAGAGCAGCGCTGTGTTTGGTGCTTTTTCCTAGCAGGTGTCAATACGGAGAAATACGGAGCCAGGCTGAGTGGCGCTTGGGGACTGAGCTGCAGACGCTTGTTGCCATTAACCTTTTGCAGTAGGCTAATATTTATATCTCTGCATTTTTAATCTCTACATCACTGAAATGACAAGAGAAATTTGTAGTGTGATTTCACAAACAACTTTTAAATTCCATTTCAAATGCATAGGAATATTGGGTTTTTAACAAAAAATGTTACACCTCTCAAGCAGATAATGTGACAAAAAGCAAAACGGGCCCAGCCCAGCAGGTAAAAAGGGCTGATCGGAATCTCACCTGGGAGAATTTCTAGGAATATGTTGTTTTGGTCAGAGACTCCATTGTCTTTCCACGCCGTGTGCTGGTTTCTTACAGATTTGGTAGATTTCTAGGGAAAGAAGGAGGTTGGTGGGGATTTATATTTGGGTGGCAAGACCGAGGTAAACGCCCTTCCTGCGCAGTGGATCTGAGCAGAGTCCAAAAGGGCCCCTGGTGGCCATTTGTAAACCTTGTGTCCCATAAATCCGGGAGCCTCCAGTGGCAGGGAGCATCTGTTCCATGTGGAGACCCCGTGGGGTGTGGCCAGGCCTGCCTCCTACCCAGGCACTGCGAGGGCCTCATCCAGATCCTCCTCCGGCTCATGAATATTAAGGTAAATGTGGACGAATGCAAGAAAAGAGAGATCCGTTGCACACTGCTGAACGTCTGCTTAGCTATGAGCCTGCGGACTAAGCATTTTCCGAGCAGATGGAAAGTACGGGGGACCAGAGGGCACTTTGTGCTCACGGGGGCAGAGCACTTTAAAGGCACGCTTTTGAACCGGCCTCAGGCAAGTGAGAAAGGAAAGGCGCACGCACGGTGCATTGCAAACTAAGCTTTCTCTGTCAGCAATACCAGCTTTTATCTTGAATGAAGCATCTGGTGAATCTGGTTGAATGCATGCAGGAAAAGAAGGCAGGGAAAGAACGGAGGAGGAGGAGGCCCTAAGGAGACAGGAGAAAACGAGCGGTGCCATTCCCTGCTCTCTGCTCTTGGTCCCTTCTCTGCCTTAGCCATGAAGGAGAGTCCCAGACGGAGCTACTCTGTCTTTAAGAAACCACCACGTGAAGCCTGCTGGCTACGAGCCCTTTTTATCATCCCTGGTGCAGAGTTCCTAGAAAGGGAGGACTTGGTAGGTCTGTTCTGTACTGTACTTGAGCCAGTACATGCTCATCAGGCTGAAATGTCCACTCCCATCCCTTGCAAATGGGCACCGGAATGAAATTAGTTCATTGTAAGTTTATTTTACTTTCCTGATGCCAGTTTTCAGGTGGAGGGAATCGAAATCATGTAATGAGTTACTGCAACAGCACAGCTGACCCTTTTAAATCTTTGAATCACTGCATTTAAAAGCAACCTGCCCTTTCCGATCAGCCTTGGAAATGGTGCCCTTACACTTGACCTCGTAGGGAAGGCCTCCACGAGCATGGATGGGATCCACTCACCTCCACTCCTCCTCTCCTCTCCTACCGCTTACACCACCTCAAAACCAGTCCTAGGATCCGGTTTCCTTGGTAACTAAACGACAGTAGTGCAAGGCATTCTCTTGCCTCGCGTAATGCAAGAAGTTTGGGGAACGCCGGTTCTTCACCTTATATGAATTTCTTATTTTACTGGGAAAATGTTGAGCTAAGCAAATTCCTGCTGGACTTTACATGTTCCCGTTGAATCTGTTGGGAAATCGCTGTTGGCTCTTTAGGGATGGAATCTTCCAGCCTGGAGGCAGCACCTTGAAATGTCTCCATGCCGTGGAATCGGTGCCATCTTCAGGTTGGTCAACGGAAACTCTTGCGACAATAGCAAGAGTGTTTCTGCCCTTTTTTACCATGGGTCTTTCAGTTGAAAAAAGGAGGTTTGACTCCTTCCGCAGATCCCTGCTGGCTGTAATCCACTTGTATGAGTGATTTCTCAGCAGTGCAGAAGGGCAGAAGATCAAACCTGTTTAGAGATCCGAACTGATTACAATTCCTTGGTCACCTTCTGCACTTAACAGGTGCCTTTTGAGAAAAGACGGCTTGGAAATTAAAACTTGTACATAGCATTTGCTTCCTAGGGAACCTTCTCACTCTTTCTGCACTGACCGGCACGGGAGGACAGGCTCTCATACAGCATCCTGAGCATTTTATGTGGTTCTGATTTTAAAATGTAAATAGAGAAAGATTTTTTTTAAAAAAGCACTTTCACCAAGATTTAAAAGAAAAAAGTACCCAATAATAACTTGAAGAGTAGTATGTTTTAAAACAGATTATTGTGGGAGAAATGTAAATAGACAAAATATTTAACATGCTTTTCCGTCCTTGATTTTTTTGTTTTCTTTTATTGTATAAAGTTGCTTTTATTTTGCAAGGAAAATCAACAACTCATAATTGGTTTTGTATTGTATTCCTTCCCGTGATTATATCACAATTGTTAGGAACGATTGCAAGTCAGATTTACAGGAAAAGTTCTGAGGATCAGAGGTTGTGGTATCAGCCGCTCAGGGCCTGATCCTAGGTTTTACATTCAGGAAAGTGTTTTTTTATGCAACCCCCCAGTCGCAATTTGAAGGGACACAATCCCAGGTGGTCCCTACCCGAGCACACGGGGCAGCTCTCGGAGCCCCTGGCTTCTCAGCCTTCCGGGGCCAGCGAGGGGCTACTTGCTGTGGGCAGAAGCAGCATGGATTCCTCAGCCTGAGGTAGTTACCGGAAAATGCCGGCTGTAAGATCGCGTCTCTCTCTTCGTCTAGACTTGCCTCCATGATGTATTTGTTGTGCCCCATTTGTTGTCGCAGAGGTGCTCGGAGAGCTTCGTTCAGGGGACGTGAGAGAGCACGAGGCGGTCAGCGGATGGTTAGCAATGTGGCAAGCAGGAAAGCGGCTGCCCCCTGGCCTGTTGCAATCCTGTTGGGTACTGGGGGTTGCAGAACTTTCTGGTTGTGGTGCAGGTGGCCTTCGGGTGATCCCTTTCTGAGCTAGAGATGGGCCTGCAGGATCTCTGGGGAAGAGACATTTTAAATAGACACACGTCTACATTCCCTGTCCTGGGACCCATAAAGAAGGGCAGCTGACTTGAAGTCGAGGTGGCAACTCCGTGGACCCTGGACTACTTCCATATTTGGCCTACGGGTGTTTACAGTGCTCCCCAGAACAGGGATGGAGAAATAGAGGGAAACGAATTAACAGGCCAAGTCCTTCTTTTCTTTCATTTAGGACCAAATGGTAGTCTCCCTTCATATGGTGCATGTCCAAAGGAACTTAAAACTGGAATCACAAATTCATACTGAAACTCATTGTCCAAGGCGAAGTTCTTACTTATATCAGGTTAGACCGGTTCTTCCAAAGCTTTGGCCTAAAATAATATTTTAAAGAATCTGTTTGTTCTCCAGTTGATTGTGCCAGGTATTTGCCAATATAATTGGCTGACTTTGGTGCAGGTGTGGGGCAGTCCCCATACTATCCGATCCTGGCAGTGTCAGTATTAAATCCATTGCAAGAATATGTGAACACTATCAGAGTTTGACGCAGTTTCCATAGCACATGGTTTAGACACCTCTCCCTTCTAAAACAAGGCTGTTAAAACTGAAAGCAAGACTCCTGACTGATCCCTAGTAGTATGATTTTTAAAATTTATAACAAGAAGGTTGCTCACTGCATAGATAACCTACCTCAAACTTCATTTGCGAAAAAATATCATGCTACAGACTTCTTTAAGGAATTCAGATCTATGCACAGGTTATGACTCCACCTTTGTTGCTGGAAGTCTGTTTTAAGTTCTTCACTGGCATGGGCATTTTCTGCTTACACACCTGGGCAATTATGGTGACGGTGTTGCAGTTAAGGTATTTGGAATCCCGGATGAAGCAGAAGGGTGCACATTTACAGATGTGTTTGTCAAGGGCATCCTAAGGGCTTGAGTTGTCCCAGGAATGCTAAAGCCCATGGGCTTTGATAAATGCAGGTTTTACTCATGGGGACGTGAATATGGCACCTTGGGCGCCTCCTTCCACTTGGAGCAGCACTGGGAAGCCAAACGATGGTGTTCGCTTCTTGAAACAAGGCTGCAGTCACTCTGCACTCGTGACGGTGTTCATACCTCTGAACGCCCTTGCTGGAGGCGCTGGAGAAAAGGCAGTTGGGACCCACAGCCTCCTTCTCACGCCCGCCCTTGCCTTTTGTGCTGATATGTCGGAGACAGATTTTTGTAAATGAATAGTGCTAAGTTTCTCTAAATGTATTTTGGGGGGTTAGTGATTTGAAGCGCAGTAACAACAGCAAGCAAACAAAACACATGGTGCTAAAGTGAGAAACAGATCAGACTTGACAAAAGGGGTGAATTCTGTTGTAGTTGCAAAATCCCATTAACTTCTATGGAAGGTTTTGGACCTGTTGAGGTCACTCTCCAAATAGTTAATTTGTTATATTTGCTTAGCTTTGGGACACACTAATATATGTGTAGAAGCCTTTGCTTCGGGACACTTAACGCTCTTGCACTGAAGAAGACCTCAGCTGGGGCATCCTCGTGCCTCTTTATGAAATAAAGTGCAAGACCCAAATACTGGAGGGGAGAGGAGACGAAGGGCTCTTGGGATGCTAACACGGTAACCATTACAGTACCGGTTTATCTGCGGAGGGTCCAGTTTGCTGGCGACTGTGACCAAACAGTGGCTCCTTATTGTACCATAAAAGTTCCCCGCCATCTCCTTGGCTGCTCTGTGTGGTCAGTTGGTGGCTGGGGAGCTTTAAAACCAGGGCTAGAGGTCCCCACCGTCCCTCCCTAGGAGCCGGGAGCTTCCCTTTCCTCATCCGTGACGACTGTGTCCCACGCAGAGGCAACGAGAGGGACAGAGAAGCCTGGAGGTGTGGGGTGCACATTGTGGGCCGGAAGGCATAACTTCGTATCAGCCAAAATCTTCTAATGAAATGGTGCTATCTTGGAGGCTTTTAAAAAAAAACCAGTCATATTTCTTTTTTGACAGATTCCATCTTGCTAAGGTGCTACTGTATATGTCAAAACAGAGAACTGTACAATTAACTGAGAATAGGAAGTTTCAATATTTAAAATGTTTGTGTTTTCTAAAGGCTCTGCTCTGTTACAACTGCATCCTTTTGAGCTCGTTTACATGCCTGTGGATCCAGCTCAGAGCAGCCTCCTTGAAGGGCAGCCGTATGCCTCCTTGGGCTGTTCCCTGGCCTTCTGCAAGTAGAGCTGCGTGGCTCAGGTGTTGACACTGAGACTTGCCTGTTCACTCGTTCGTGCCAGCCCCTCTCTTGAGGCCCCTGGGCCCTGGCAGGTTCTCAGCTGTGGAATGAATGAGTCGGACAAACGTGCTTTCTTCAGGCAGGTGGAAAACAAGGTACAGTGACCTGTACTCTGAATTAACACTTGTGCCAGCTGAGCAAGTGCATGGTGCAACAGTCTGTAACCCTGTGCATTGGATATTATTATGCAAACCGATGGGTGCTGAACCGACGCTTTGAGGTCGCTCCGTGACGGAGCAGCTAATCTGCAAAAGCGATGACGTTGTCATCCCCTCTGGCTGGCTGGCTCGCTTGCGCGCACGCTCACTCGCTCTTCTTGTGAACCGTTTTGGCTTAGTTCTGTAGGCCCAAAACCTGCTTCTTGGGCCATATTTACATCTCAGTGTGAACAGAAAGATGCTTTCTGTAGATTTCAGTACTGAATGTGGGCTCATTCTGCTGAGAGCTGGGATTTAATGGGGTCTGACCACATAAGGGTTTGCTAATCTTTCGTCTGATCTGTCAGGCTTGTCCTGCTGCTTTTATTACAGTGGCAGCTTCTTCTTTTGGTATATTGCTATTTATGAGTAGATGTGTCTCCAAGTTTTACAGAATACTTTTTGGTGCTATTTATTTTCCATCTCTCCCTCTTTCTCTCCCCCACCCAACTTTTCTGGTTCATAAAACTTGTTATAAATGTGTATAGAAGCCAGGGTCTCATCATATAATAAGCTTGCTGTTATCACAATACAGACAAAAATACCTCAAAAAAAAAAAACCCCAGAGTATTGTGGCAACCTGTGATTCAGTAATAGCTAATGGAATGGACATAGATTAGAAATAACACTGTACTTGACATTGTAGAAACTGTATGGCCTTCTTCGTTCTATTCTTGGGCAAAGACTCAAACACTGAAATGTTTTGAGGAATAAATATATGGAAGCTCTAAAGAGACAGTATACGGCCTTGTCTCTGTCGGCTGGCTTCTTGAAGTACCTCAGAGCACATTATGGCCCATAGGAGAATGCAGTTTTAGGAATAACCGGTAGCCAAATAGTAGTTTTGGCATGTGTTCTTTTAAATCTGCCACAACAGATGCATTTGAGCAGAAGGTTCCTCCTCTGCTACAGAGCTTAAGCATGTTTCCAAGGGAGTTCTGCTGACACAGACCCCGCTTTAAGAACGAAGCCAGAGCAAAAAGCAGCAGGGGCCCGGCTCAGAGACGCGGCCAGCCGGATGCCCATGCTGGCGACTGAAGTGCAGGTGCTCAGCCTTGCCCCACACGACTGCTGCCCAGGAGCACCCTGGGGAGCCGGCCCCCGCCAGCCCCTCGGGATGGGGCGGCCCTTGCGCTGTGCCACTCCTTTAATATCCGGGACCTTCATTGCTGCATGGCAGATGGCAAATGTGGCGGCGGCCGGCAAAGGGCACGTGCTCCTGTATTCGTTTCCTTGCGCAAGCGACCACGCTGTGGCGAGCAGGGAGCATTTTGCTCACACAAGGAATATTCTGTGGTCAAGGCCTACATTTTTGTATTTTTGTTTTTCTCCCCCCCCCCCCCCCCCACCCCACCATTTGCCTAAGAATAGTAAAGCAATTCGGCCAAATTCTGCTTTAATATCAGGGATCTTTTCTTTTGTGGCATATGTTTTGTTTTGTTTTTTGCCATCCTTTTCTGTTTTCCGTTTTTAAGCACCCATTCTTTGGGGTTTACTCGCTGATGTCCAGTCTTTGGGAAACGTGTGGCGTCTCGCTGGCATTTGGCATTTTATGCATTTTTGTGTGTAAAACCAATTATAGGTATAACGCTGTCTTTTAAATGCTTTTTTAATTTAAGAGAAATGAGGGAAAGCAGGTTGATTTGGCAGGCTAATTCAGCTCCGTCGACAGAAGGCTGTAACTTTTCCATGTATTTGGTTTCTTGTCTCCTCAAACTCACATTGGAAAATGAGACCCTCCAGGGGAGGTGACTTTGGGACCACACTTGAAGTTCCTGGTTGACTGTGGCTACTTGAAATGAAGTTTTATCTGGGGTTGGTTGACAAATGGTAGATTTACAATGTCTCAAGGCAATAGGACTTGTGTATTAAACTGTAGATATCCTTAGTACAGTAAATTTATGCTGATAATTTTATTTTGTATAATTTCCTCTGTACTTTTTCTTTCACACTTTTACCCCCTCTGGTGTCTCAGCAAATTTATTTTTAGGATGCCTGAAAGTATGGATCCTTCTTTTTTATTTGTATTTTATTATGTTACACAACCGATTGGTTTGTGAAATGTATTATTCCTGATATCTTTAAACTATTGTGGGTGTTTTAATAAATTTTATATTTATTTTTTGCACTCAAATTCAGTGTGTTTTTCCCTTGCTGCTTAGGCTGCTTCCAGATGGGGCTTAATTGTAGAATCATTGCATCTCATTCACTCGCATTTTTTCATGGGAATCCCACAGAAAGATGTCCATTTAAAATCCTGTTTTGCCAGTGCTGCTTCTGTCTTCCCCTTTTCAGCTTTTCAGAATGGCAGGAGCACCAGGCTGCCTTCGCAGAGCCACCGGCAAGCCCTGAAAGAGCCTCAGACGCTCACTAGCACACAAGCCAGAGGGGTGCAGGTGGCTTCCCCCACTTCTCCTTCCAGGGGGTGGGAGGAAAAAAGGGGTGACGCGTGGATGTTACCGAGGATTACTGAGCAGGGGAGTTTGCACCATCACGGGGAGCCACCGCGGGGGCAGAGAGGTGCGTTCAAGAATCGCCCCTCCCCAGGCACACCGTGCATCCTCCACACCTGGCCTCGTGGGAAAGAGAAACCGCCTGCGCCATCTTTCCGATGTTGCGCACGCACTGGGTGGTTCCGCTCTGGTTCAAGCGGCACCTGTATCTTTTGCACACTCCTAGCTTGGGACAGCCTGAGAAGAATTTGGGGGGAACACCCCATATTGTTCCTTTTTCCCCGAAGCACCGTTTTTGTTTGCCCTGCACCCCCAAAATTGAAAAACTGAAAAAAGGAATTTCAAAGGGTTGAATATTTGTGTCCGACGCATGCATGCAATGTCCACGAGACATTCTTCACTTTCTGCAGGGCTGCAGAACCCAAGGGGGCGAGGGGAGCCCTCGGCGGGGTGCAAGTCCTCTAGTGTTGTGCCCTGCGCGCATTTCCCCCGTGGCTGAAGCACCTGGTGGGCCTTGCAACCACTGCCTGAGCCAGGACCAGGCTTGGCTGGCTGCAGGGTCCCCCCCCCCCGCCAGCAACACCCCCTGCTTTCAGCTGGCGCTGCAGCGGCCGAGTGGCTCTTTCTTGACCAGGCCTCCGGACTGGAAAGGCAGGCAAGCAAAGCAGCGTCTGCCCAGATGAAGCCTCCACGGTCCCAGCTTAGGAGCATCACGAGGCTTCCTCCCTTTCCACCTCCCCACCGAGAGCCGGGGTGGAAATCCGGTCCCAGTCCCCACGCAGCTGGAAATGCCACTGGGTGAATTTGGACCAGTCATGCCCTTTCAGCCTCAACTCACCTCTCAGGGTCCTTGTGAGGATAAGACTGAGAGGAGACGGAAGACCCTTTAAGCTGGAGGCAGCTGCTTGAATGGAAAAAGGTGCGGTACAAGTTGTAATACTGAACAGCCCCGTGGGGCACGGGGCTTACGCAGGGAAGGCAGAGGGGGCCCAGCCGTGGGTTCTGCCCCCAATACTTGGCACCTGAATGTTTTCTAAAAACTACATAAATGGAAGCCTTCAGAAGGCTAGACTTGTACATTGGACATTTCGCTTCAGGAATGTCTACTTTTCTACATTTCGAGAAAGTTTGGATCAAGGGCCAGCTCCACAGTGGCTGCCCCTCCTGGGGCTGGTGTTGTGACTCTGAGCAGGCACAGAAGTGGGGAGAGCATGGATGCACCATGGCTTGTGCCGCTTCCCTCCCTGCGTGGCCTGGACTGCTTGGCTCTTCCGGCGGGGCTTGGGGGCCTTGGCCAAGGAGGTGGAACCAAAGCGGACGACGCACGAGCGCCTGGTGCAGTCTGACAAAATTGGGGGTCATATGCTCCGTCACAGCTGCCTGTGGAACCTTAAGTCAGTGATGGGGGTGGGAACAGATCTCCCCTTGATGCAGGGCTTTGAGGCCTTCTCGACTTGGGCCTCGAGGGTGGGTCTCTGATGAGCGTGAAGGGAGCCACAGCACGGGTGCTTCCTGAAAGATGGCGGCTTCCCAGCAGGGCTTCTTGCCTCCTAGGCACCTTGCCTCGGTTGGTCTTCGCAGGATTTTGGGACAGGCTCATGGGCCGGGCACCCTCTTCCAGTGGGGACGGCAGGGCAGGGGCATGCAGCCTCTTTGGATCTGCTGGGACCCCACTGAGGAGAACACAAACCTTTGCCCCACGGGGCTCAGGAGCCTTCCCGTGATGATCGTCCTGAGCACAGCAAAAGTGCGCAACACTGGAGGTGGGCCCTGCGGCGGGCGTGGGACTTCGTGGGACCCATTCTTCAGCTCTGTTTAGGCGTGATGGGAGCTGGAGTCCAAAGCATCCGCCGGCTAGTCGACTGTCCTGGAAGGAACTTCGCAGGTGAGTCTGTAATCGCCTGGGCTGTGCAATGCAATGGAGATTAATGCACAAACCAGTCCAGGCCGGGCAGAAACGGGAGCAGCGCTGCACAGCCAGGAGGGTTCAGTTTGCTTGTTTGTTTCTTTAAAACATTTATATGCTGTCCTTCACTATCGCGTCTCAAATCCAAAGGCCTCAGTCCTTCGGCGCGCAGCCTTCCTTATGGTTCAGCTTTCACAGCCATGCATTGCAACTGGGAAAACGATGGCCTTGACTATACACACTTTTGTTGGCAGGGTGATGCCTCTGCTTTTTAATATGCTGTCTAGATTTGCAATAGCTTTCCTCCCCAGGAGCAAGCGTCTTTTAATTTCTTGGCTGCAGTCCCCGTCTGCGGTGATCTTGGAGCCCAGGAAAATAAAATCTGTCACTACCTCCATTTCTTCCCCATCTATTTGCCAGGAAGTGAGAGGACCGGATGCCATGATCTTAGTTTTCTTAACGTTGAGTTTCAAGCCAACTTTTGCGCTCTCCTCCTTCACCCGCATCAAGAGGCTCTTTCGTTCCTCTTCACTTTCTGCCATTAGAGTGGTATCATCTGCATATTTGAGTTTGTTGATATTTCTCCCAGCAATCTGAATTCCAACTGGTGATTCATCTAGGCCCACCTTTCTCATGATGTGCTCTGCATATAAGTTAAATAGGCAGGGTGACAGTACACAGCCTTGCCGAACTCCTTTCTCAATTTTGAACCAATCAGTGGTTCCGTGCCCAGTTCTCACTGTTGCTTCTTGACCCGCATAGAGGTTTCTCAAGAGACAAATAAGATGGTCTGGTGCTCCCATCTCTTTAAGAACTTGCCACAATTGGTTGTGATCCACACAATCAAAGGCTTTAGCATAGTCAATGAAGCAGCAGTGAGAACTGGGCACGGAACCACTGATTGGTTCAAAAT